AAAATTTAATATTTAAATATAATTCAATATTAATATTAAAAATTTAATACTTTAAAAATTTTAATATTTGATATTTTTAATTTGATTTTTTTTCTCACTTATTATTAGAAATTGAAACTCTCAATATTGTATCGAAACTTTTAGTTTTCAGTGACGACTTGCAACAATATTTAAAGCCAGATCTATTTAAAATATGATTATATATAAGTAATTATGTATAAGAATAATTTAGAAAAATCAGTTAAAGATTGACTACGTTTTTATTATTGTTTATTCATATGTCATTCATTCGTAAACTCTTAAATGGAATTATATTAACAGTATTCATGGTATCTAAAAGAATTACATATGAATATGAAAATATCTTTCTGAAAAAGAGTTATTACCTATGTATTTGCCAAAATATATATATATATAATTTAAATTTAAACCTGATAAATAATTAATAATCACAGAAAATTATAATCTGTGCTTATTTAATCGATGTGACTTAATTATTTTCATGGAGTAGTAAATCGATTAAAAGAAACAATTGTATCCCAAAATCTAAGTACTTATATTAAGTATCTATAAAGATTTTCAAACATCGCAAAAACAGTTTACAATTTTTTAATACCTCGTGGACATTTGTCACAAAAATATTTGAATTTTCGTATCTTTAGAATATTACGTTATTATCGATAACAGATTTAATGTGCTCTTGCTCAATTATAAGTGACGTTTCATAATGATAGTAATAGCTTTATAATCCTATACAAAACTTATTAGTATGTAATAATAATACCTAATAATATGTACAAATTATAGTTTATAATTTAGAAATAACTGTTTATTTCAAATGTTAATGTTAAATCAATGTCATAATTACCTCAAACATTAATGTATATCGTCTCCTTTATACTTATACTATCTTTATACTTATGAGAGAAAAATAGCTAACATCGATTTTTTTCTCTAGATATATAATATATATAATTATATAAGTCATATATAATTATTTTTTTTGTAGTTTTTTAATTTTTCTCTATCTTTTATTTATTATATTATTGGGTATTGGGTCTTGTATGTAATTTGGACTTATAAAACTAAATGAATCATGAATGAAGAATGTATAATTATTGGAAAAAGATATTAATATTCATTTTTATGTAAGTATAAATTTGAACAAAATTTGGTGGTGAGATATTGAAATTGTTTCGAGCAGTAAAAAAAAACAAGGATGGACGCTGTTCACATTGAGGGCAGGCATCTTATCCCTTCGATTACCGAGGCATGTGATGATATTTATCGCAAATAACGTATTTAGAATAACACGTCAACAATACAATGATACACATATATACGTATATTACAACATACATATATACGTGTATTCTCTCGCATCCCCACGACCGGTATTCCAAAGAGATGATGGATGCGCGATGCTTCGTTTTGATGATCATACGTGATGAGACAAAGAAGGAAGATGATTCCGGTAATGAATCAGCCTTCATTTTAATTATCAGCGTGCTATTCGCAATCAGCTGACAGTTGTTACCGAGTATTCCACTACGCGTTCAAAGAAAGATTTTTCACCCTCTACACAACTACTATTATAAATTACTATTTCACAACTACTATTATAAATATCTCAAAATCTATCTGATTTGAAATTGAAACAAATATTTACTTCGTTTGATATATTTACTATTTTGTTACTATCTTGTTTTTCATTTATCTGATATAAAATATATATGATCGCGTATATACGCGCACATATATACACACATACACAGAGAGAGGGAGAGAGAGTGTGTGTTGAATAGTAACACGTTACTTGTAATATCATTACATAGTCAGATAGAATGAAAATATAATCGCGAGAATTCCGAGATGCAAAAACATTGATTTTTACCAGATTATTGACAAATAATATTTTAGTAAGTAAAATAATCATTCACAAATATTGCGCTTTATGATAATTCTATTCTTATTTTTAAATTTTGCAATTTGACGTCTCTTTTTCCAACTTAAATATTTTTTTATATTATATAGAATATAAGAAATTACATTGTGCTCAAAGGCAATATCTCAAAATGAAGAATTGATATATTTAAGCATGTGAATGTGTGTGTGTGTGTGTGGGTGGGGGGGGGGAGGGGTGTCTTAGAGAATCGTCCAAATTCTCCGAGGGGTAATGCATCCTCTCGTTCACTCGCTGTCTCGCTGAAATAGGGGAATGAAGAGCGGACACGAGCATCCAAGGAAGAGGTAGGAAGGGGATGAGAGAGAGAGAGAAAGAGAACATCAAGGGACATGGGGTTGGAATCGGTTCCCATGGGTAAAACCCGGATCGAGCGTTCCCAGGAACGCGCACGTGATCCGCGTCAGAAGACGATCAATACGGACTTTGCGAACTCCTACACCCTGCCGGAACGATGTGTCGCCCTTATACATCCCTCGCTTTCTGACAAGTCTGATGGCGATGGCGAACGATCGACACTCCTCCTCGCACGTGTGCATAGATTGTTGCGCACACGTGCGCCTATTTAATCTTCCTGTCCCTCCATTCTTTGTACCATCCGGCTTCCATTCCCGATATCGTCGAATCCTCGCAGATTTTTCCTAGACGATGTGAAAAACACGTTGCTAAAATTCAAACGTCTCTATATTTTAAGTTTAATTCTTTTTTAAAAAATATAAAAAAATAAAATATATAAATATCTTCATATTTTACGAGTTATAAAAATAAATTTATATCTATTATATATTCATTGATAAATTTTAATATTTAATATGAAAAGTTAAATATAATATTTAATCACTCTTTTCGCTTATTAAATTTTCAGGATAACGAAATATTTCATTTCCATAATAAAGTAACGAGTATATAATAAATTTTTTGTACAAATTTCTATATTAAATGTGTGAATATACGTGAGATGTTTCAAAATTGAGAAGAAATGTTTCTTAGCTCTTTCGATGAATTCAAATTTAGCTTTTGTGACTTTGAGCATTCTTTTTCCATTTTTTATTGATTACTGATATTAATAATTTTATTATTTAATTTCATAAAAATATAGATTTTAAGAAATTATGATTTAACTTCTATTTACTCAATTTATGTGCGTATGTGATCGGTAGGATAGGCCATTGAGAAGCAGCGGAGGTACGGCATTTCAAGAATACAAAGAAATGTACGGAACTAATTTATAGACACAGTTTAAATTTATTTCGAGTGTACGAGTGCAGTACGCCCGCGTATTGATGTTCTTACAGCCCTTCAGTCTTTGCAAATATACAATATTTACGCGGGTTGAGAAGGCGAGGAGTACTTTCTAAATTACAAATCACAGTTGCCTCTGCTCGTCTAGAAATCTATGACAGATGAATTTCTGGCATTTCGACAAACGCCAAAAAATCTCACTTTGAATTTTGATGATTTCTTTAAAGAAAAACATAGTAAAATATAAAAAACACACCCCTCCCCCACACACACACATACACACATACACACACAGTTTCAAGGTAAGTTCGATAAAGTTTTAAATGTTCAATGAGATATTAAGTATGTGACGTAGCAAAATATTACAACACTTTTTTCCACTTTTTTCCACTTATCCGCATTTACAATTATATAAATTATACAAGTATATAAATCAAGAATTTTTTTTTGGAAATCAAATTTTCGATGGAGCATCGACGTGAAAGTGGCAACTGTGATTACAACATAAGAGGCTAAACAACGACGGTGATAACTATACAATAATTAGGAATACTAGAAATGTGAAATTTTAATAGAAAATAAACTGGACCTTGCCAAAAATCGGTATAATCTCGGCGAGTTCGATTTCGTACGAATCGATGCAATCATCGTCATCGTCATGCTACATCTCCGGCGTTGAAATCCAAATTCGCCGACTGTCACGCAAACTTGTTTCGATTCCCTCGAAAAAAAAGCGTATTTCTTTCGCTGTCTACGACTGCGAATTCGATGGACGCGCGTGCGACATGCGATACGATGCGACACGACACAACGAGGTGTGTTTTCCAGGAGGAGAGGACTTCCGCAAGAAAAGAGGCGATCGATCGGCGAAGTTGGGCGGGGCGCTATGTAATGACTTGAACGAGCGTTCGTTGTGCTCAAACGCGTGCGCACGTTTTCATTTAACGCATGATATCGCATTATGTGATACGCGATACCAGAGGCCTTATTCTCGAAAGATATATCGCATACGAAAATCGTATGGTACACGTTACGATTTTTCGTGTGCGATATGTATGTGATATAGTGAAAGATATTTATTAGATTCGGAAAAATAAACGGAGACCGACTGGATTTTAACTCAGGATCCCTCGCTTATTACCAAGACACTTGGTCTGCACGATCGCGACGGCTCCTCTACAGTTAGCTGTTTATAATCCGAATCTCTTCATGACCGCTTACGATCGTCTATTTCTTACAATAGATTCGAGAATCTCATACCAGAGTAAGATTCTGGTCCTTGGAGGATTTAAGCGCGGAGTAGTTTCAAAAAAAAAAAAAAAAAAAAAATTAACGTTAGTCGGAACTCGCACGTCATCTTTCGCAGTCCATCGCAAAACGGGGAATCTCGAAAGTAGAAATCGCAGGGAAATCGCCGATTTCTGCCAGTCTTGCGATAGAAGATCGAGTAGTCGGTTAAAAAACGATCGGAATGACAAGATTCTAGATGGGAAACAGAAAGAGGGGCAGGGGAAGGGGTAAAATTCGTGCCAGGTCCTTATAACCATAAGAGATCTCATGTGGAATGCGATGAGCGTATATACAAATATATTTACAATTTCCCATTGCGGGGTGTGTGGGGGAAGAGTAGAGCTTGAGAAACCGGCGCGCGGGACTCGCTCTTTGATCAAAATGTCCTTCTCCATCACCGTCATACAAAATCCCATCTTCGGCTGCAGAACGCGCCTTCGAATGATCCTTGATTATCCTCTTCCGCGATGCGGTCGACACCTTCTCCCGTGATCCAAGCCAAGAGGGTAGATCAGCTTGATGATGGATACTTTGAAGAGCGATCTACCTAGTCCAGTGAGGAGGGTGGCTTCGATGCGACTTATACCTTAGCGGATCTGATCAGCAGGTCACCGCTCGGCAACCGTCGTGGTTACGACGGATGTTGTCGTGGTTGTCGCGGCGATCGATGTGGCGGCGTTCAGCAGAGGTTGCCTCGAGGACTGTGTTGTCACTGTCGCCGCCTCCACCGTCGTCGTCGTCGTCGTCGTCGTCGTCGCCGTTGTCATCGTCTTCATGTCCTGATGCGTGGCGTTCGTCTCCTCCAGGGCGGTCTGTAGATAGCAGATGTATTCGATCACCCTCTGGATCACCTCGAGTTTCGACAGCTTCCGTTTACGCGGCATGTCCGGAACGAGGGAGCGCAGCTTCATCAGATAAGCGGCTATCTCCTCGGCCTCGAGGTCGCGCCTGCCGCCGATTCCCAGGCCGTTGTGGAGAACGCCGCGATGATTGGGCGGCACTCTGCCACTCACCGGGCTCACCACCATCGCCTTCATGCAGAGACAGCGGCGATCAGAAATTGGTCGGGCGACCGAGCCGATCGATCCGGCGCTCGCTCCTTCCTCTCGGCGCCGTCTGCGGGCACACTGAGTGATCGTCCGACGACAGCGCGCCACCCGCACACACACACATATACACACTCACCGCGCGTGTGCTTATCGATCGCAGGAGCTGTCGAACACGCAGGAGGCGCGAATGCACGTGAAGAGCGGAGGGTGGATCACGCTAGATCTCTCCTCGTGATTTCTCCTCGTCAAGTGATACGTCGCTGAGGTGATATGACAGGCCTCTCCTAGTTTTGTTCGTTGATCGAGTGTGGAATCACACGTGCGAGAGGTCACCCACTGCTATTCGATTCACTGACCAGCCGCATCATCCTCGGCGGCTACCGGGTGCCGAGTGCGTGTTGATGCGATTGTCGCGTACGACGTAGAGTGAACGCTGAGTATACCGTTAATCAGAATCGCACACGATCGCTTGACGGAACGAAGCCGACTGGCCTCCGCCCCTCACCTGTGTCTTTTTATAGCCTTGCCCCACCCCGGCTCCCCGCGCCTATCCTCCAGACGCTTCCAGCATTTGTACGGCGCAATCGCTGCCCGAATGGAGTAGCGATGGCTTTGAACGTCACGCAATTCTCTCTTCGATTAAGCCGGATTCACTTGGAATTTTTTTTTAATTCCAATACACAAATTTCCAATATAAATTCTATATTTTACAGAAAATTTCTTTGTTACAGATATTTTTGATAAATAAAAGTTACGTAATTTCAGTGTACAAAAGGATTTATAAAAATAAAAAAAAATTGTTTTACATAACAAGCTAATTTTAAAACGTTTTAAAAAATTATCGGATAAGTCGATCTATCAATTGTTAGATAAACTCGCGATTACAAATCAAAAGGATGGGAATGAATGTTTCGTGAATCAAACAGTCGCTTTTCGTAATTAAAAAAATTTCTTTATAAGAAAACTTTACATAAAAAAAATACAAAAAATACCGTAAAAAAAATACCGTACGTGAAATTAACATCGATTTAACCAACTCGTAATCACGGAGAAAGAGAGAAAACAATTGTGGTCGAATTAAGATTGACGCGTGAACGAAAGAACTGTTAGATTTCATGTAAAAATTGCACAGATATGAAGTCCGATTCGAGGCTATCAGTAGTCGGGATGTTTGACGACTGTGCGACTGACGGCGTCGGTGGAACATGAGGGGAGTGTAAAAGGGAGACGGGAAAGGGGAATGCGACTATTGTTGAACGTCCGGCGGCGCCAGCCACTAGCCATCACGGCTACCACTACTACGAAGACACTGTCGCCACCAATACCGTAACAGGCGGTCGACCAGCACCGTCCCAGGCTCTATGTATCCGATGTACGACGATGGTCGTTCGCTAACCTGTATACCATGATTCCGGCCGTTCAAATTTTCTTGCAGCGGCGAATGGTGCGCGAATAAATTTACGCGCTCCTGTTCACTGATGTCGCAAAATTCCATTAAAATCATTACAATTTAAATAAATATGCTTGTATATCACATTATATAAAATGAATATTTATGAAATTAGAGAGAAAGCATGTAACTATATGTTACATACCTACAAACCTTCAAGGAACGTCCTAAGGATGTTCAGAGGACGTCCGGATAATGTCTTATGTTCTAAGAACGTCCCTCGGATAAAGCGCATTATATAGGTAATGTGACAATTCTCAAAGTTAACTGTCCACAATGGTTTTGTTGTCAATAGTCATAAGAACAAAAGTAATACTGAGGCCATATCAAAATATGATAATTTTAAATGTGACATAATTTAACGTTGTATATGTTTTATCTATAATACAATATGCAATTTTTAATCGGATTATGTTGATGTTACTGGATATTAACATCATTTTATTTGCTGTATGCATCCATCAGAAAACAATAGCTTTAAAGAACCATATATTCGATCATCTGTATTTAAACTTGACAAGAATTACCTCAAATAGCTCAATCCTCTCAGACATTTTATTCGAAATGACAGCATTGTGATTATGTTGCACTTAAAGCCTCGTTTTGCACCTATGTTATTTTGACTTTAATCAAGACTTAAAACTTCAAATTTGTTGTATCAAAGCAAAAGTGGCACCTAAAGTGCTTTAATTTGCATTTATTTTATTAAGATTAAAGCCAAAATAACATTGGTGCAAGAGAAGGATCTTAAAGGATTTTATTCATGAGCGATCCTCTTTTTTTAAATGATCGCCTCTCTTTATGACACTCTTTCACAAGTTATTTCGTACATTCGTCCTTTATTCGGGCCGTAACGCAAATATCGCCCCTCGGACAGCTCAATCTCCCCAGCGAATATCCCGCTTGAGGCGATGGCGTCGTTGTGATTACATCGTATTTTGTGTCTTCCGTCTCGCTCTCTCGGCTTAGGTGCTCGCACGTACGTTTTGTGACTCTCGTTACCGGTTGTTGAAGACAGGAACCCGCCTGATGTCCGGCGTTACAAACGGGTTAAATAAAAAGAGAGGTAGCCGCGCCAGCCGCTCGATAGGAGGAAGAAAAAGTAATAAAAAGAGAGAGAGAGAGAGAGAGAGG